GTAAGCCAGGACCGCAACAAAGCATTGCGCTGCATGTTTGTGTGAATGTGAATCTGTGCATGAGTGTGAAGTTAACTGACCAACACATTTATTATTCATGATGAATGTTTGAAGAGAACTGATTCAGAAGAAGACGCATGCTGTGGTTTGACTAAGATTACCAATTACTCTCTCTTTCTCTCTGTCTCTCTCTCTAGTCTATCAGTTTCTCAAAATACATGCTGTGCTGGACTCATGCAACTCTACCTTTGATCGGACCCCCTAAACAATGTGTCAATCATCTCATTTCCATTTTTAACCTGTTCACTGCAAAGGAAGTGTGGTAAATGATTGCTCGGTGTTGTAATGTTTGGATACATTAGTGGAGATACCTCTGAGGAGATGTAATGAGATCTCCGCATGTGTGCGAGCAGTGTCGCAGTGTTGGGAGGGGGATTCGTGCATGTAATGGTCCTTTACTGACCAGGGGAAGAACGGATTACTTAGAGCGAGAGAGCATAAAAAATAATAAAAAATGCTCTATTTTATCTCTCTCTCTCTCTCTCTCTCTCTCTCTCTCTCTCTCTCTCTCTCTCTCTCTCTCTCTCTCTCTCTCTCTCTCTCTCTCTCTCTCTCTCTCTCTCTGTAAATGTTCTGTAGCTTAATTAAAGTCACTATGACATCAAAATTCACAAATCTTGTTTTTTACAGAATCTTGCAGTTTATTATAAATGATTTATCCATGCACATCGTTATTTTTTTTAATTCACATGCCCTTGTAATCTTTAATAAAAAAACTCTAACATCCCCCTCCCCTCAAAACGACATCTGTTCTCTTCATGACGAATGTGTCAGCAGAGGGTTTGACTATATCCTCCACAACATGTAGCAAACTGGGATTCAGATCTGAGGCCATTTAGTTGACCACGCCCAAATTCCTACGATCCAATCAATTCCTGAGGATGAAATCAAGTCCCGCCCTATTTATTTTTTCTCATTCCAGAAGCCATTTCACTTGATATACGTCATATTAGGGATACTTCATAAATACTTTATATTTCAACAAATACTTTGTTGAACTGTCTATCAATTCTCTCTAGAAAAACTTTTCCCGAGTCTTGGGAGGGGCTATCCGTCCAATCGACTGCAGACAAGGGGTGTGACCAACATTAGTTCAACGAGTTTGGAGGTGGGACTGTCTAACCAGGGGAAATGGTCTTGAACTTTACAGTGCAACAGTGCGCATCCACTTTTTTAGCGGCCAATTTTTTTCCATTCAATTTTCACACAGGGATTTCAAAAGGGTCTTCTTTAAGGAGTTATAACATAAACCATGAATCAAACCAACCAGCTACGAGGTTAATCACATTACAAATTTTGATTTGAAAGCAAAAAAAGTATTTGAAAATCAGACAAAAAGATAAAGGAACATGACGTTTGCATCAGCTTTAATGAAGGGAAGAACTGCAATCCCCAACTGAATTAAAAATCACGAAGGAACTAATATAAAACTATTGATCTAAAGATGTTGTTTATGTAGTGAAAAATATGCCCTTGTGAAAAAAAACCTATATCAAAATGTATTTAAAATACATTTATTTCATACAAATCCATTAACATACTGACATATCACTTGAGAGACTTTTATAGTAAATATTAGAAATAAACTTAATTTGAAGTACTTCTTTTTTTGCACAATGCACATTTCTTAATATTAAGCCTAAACTGTGTTTTAATATCACTAATAGGACGGATAGTGTGATCTCTGTATAATAACAGTATTTAAATGCAAGATATTTAAAGTGAATCTAAAGTATACTTGCATTAGTTCCACTTTAGCACAATCAAATATAATTAAGTATATCTTTAATTATACCTCAGCACCATTTCTGGAAACCTAAGTACATTTAGTACAAAATTAGTTGTTCCAATTTAGCAGACTTTAAGTATATCAGTTTAGCAAAAGTATAAATGCAGGGTATTTATATTAAGGACATAAATATGTAAATGTATTTGTAGTATACTTAGCATAAAATAGATGTATTTCAAATACATATTTTTCACTATGGTGCATATCTATACAAGTATTTAAGTAGTTTGACTCTTGAGACTGCTCTATTACGTATGTCATTTGCAATGCTTTTGGCATGATTTGTTTGTTGTAATTCTCTGATTGCTGCAGATTTCTTTGCAGAAAATAAATTATATATTTTTTTGTTAAATAATGTGGGAGCTGATGGCTTCTACAAAAGCATAAACATAGCATAGCTCACAGCAGGTCTGTCTTTAAAAATGTATAAGTAACTGAAATAAAAATTAAACCTATACATAAAAAATAATAACAGAGCATAACTGGGGAAAAATTTAAATAAAGTTAATTTTCATGACTGGAAAAAATAACTAAAATATAAATATGCACAAAATAATTTTAATGTTTAGTTAATTTGAGTTTAGTTTTTAATACATGGTACATTATAAAACTAAAATATAATCAAACTAAACTACATTGAAAAGAGAAACTGACAAAAAAAGAAAAACAAATGAATTACAATTTGTCCATGTTTTGACACACTCCAGCTTTAAATTGGTTGCTCTGCATCATCCACAAATATGAGGGATTTCCTGTGAATATAAAGAGGCTTCCCTCATTCAAACTGCATGAAGCTCTAAGGCAAAGATCTATGAGCAAGCTGTTGTTCGTACATTTGAGAACACACATGCGCACTCTATTCATGTCAAGCATGTCATTTCCTCTCTTTGTGCCTTTGCATGCTGTTTAGAAAGCCTTAACAGAGCACTGACAAACACAAATGACTCTCCCTCGCTTGCCTGTGAGGTAAAATCAAGGCAGTACCACAGTTTTCCCAGACCACAGTGAGTGTCTGAGCTCTTATAATCCACACCCAGTGCAGGAAACAGCCAATGCCTCCTCTATATTACCACAATCTTCCTGCTCTTTCCATCATGAGCCTGTATCATAAATTAAGTGGGTGGAGGCAAGCTGAAATTGAATCAGCCATGATTCCCATATAGGTGGAGGAAATGTCCAACAAAACGGATGACACTGCATTTGTGGCAAAAACAACACGCACTGCAGGACGTCCGAAGCGGTTATGTTAACAACTGTAATTTTTCCTTATGTCTCACATGGCTGTGTACTTTTATCATACTTTAAGAGGATGTTTTTATGATACGCTATCTCAGACGTGAAATATGATCCTTCTCTGCGCTGAGCTCTATGCTGGATACTCCTCGTAAATGATCAGTGATTGAATTTCATCAGCGTTCCCCCCAGCCAATGGATGACTTAGAGCATACTGTACGCCCATAGATACAGGCACACGTTAGAAGCTACACAGGACATGAAACCATTCGTGCTCCCTGCATTGTGAGCAAGTACAATGAAAGATCAAATGGATGTAATCGGATAGATGTAGCATTGTGCGAGATGAACCATTTCAAAAGATGGCCTTTATGATATATTCGAACAATAACATGACATTCAAAACAATTCAGCAAGCACTAAATATCATCTAAAATTATGCAGGATATATTTATACGTTTTAATGCGAGATGTAAAGCACACTCTTGCACACATTGCATTCAACAGCTAACTGGCAACTGTCTGTGATCAAGCCCTTCCACCACAGACGAAAACCTTTGCAGCATCAAAACTTATCACATTTTTGCATCCACTCTAATCATCCTTTACTTGTCACACTTTGTATTCTGGCCAAAAAAATATGTTCTATCCTTCCTATTGAAGTTAGCGTTACACTCAGTTTTCCAAACATGTTTGCACAGCATTTTTTTCCAGTAGGCATAAATATAATCAATTAAAAAGTCTGTTACCACGGGAGCAATGTAATATCCAGACACAAATGCTCTGTTCCAAAACATAATGAGACCATTTTAAAACACTATTGGTGCACAGTTTTAGTAAAAAGTTTTTTTTTTTTTTACAATCAAAGACTTCCCACAGGTTACACAATATTTGTGTGCATTATGTTTTATGCTTTTTAAGGTGCGGTCCATTGTCCATTGTAAATAGTGTAGTGATCCATGAAGCACAGTTCACACAGAAGTCACTGTCAAACCAAACAGCTTTTTGTTGGTCAATGCACTGAATTCACACTACCAACTTGAACCCATTACAAAATCTGCATGAAAAATCTTTCGCCCTCACTCGAAATTCCAAATCGTGTTCCTATTGCATGACTGGATTTTGCCTGCGGAAATTCGCTGAACAGCGGTAAATGTGACTGCAGCTTCATTGTGCTTTAGCTTAGCAACATGCTAACGTCAACAATTCTAACTTCAAAATAAGCTGTGTTTTGTTTCGAAATGAGGCTGCCTCATTTCAGTAAAATAACAATTACATTCCAAAGTCACATTACAATTATGTACTTCACAAGGAATAACGCTCAATTTTATAATGGTTAATTTTCTGAAAAGAGATGACATATGCAAATGACGCAGCCTTCGAAATAATGACACACAGCCACTGTCTCCCGTGCAGAGCTGCCCATGAAGAGTGTTCCAAATCCCTCACTTATCGGAGCTGCCCATCACTTAATCCCTCACTTATCGGAAATGGGAAGTAGCCACTAAGTTTTGGAACAGAACAGAACAAAAGAGAAGACAGCATAAATGCCTATAAAAGTATTGTGCTGTTAGCTTAGCAACATGCTAACATCAAACTCTTTAGTTGAATTTCCCGTGTACAGCCAATGTAGATTGTTCCAGAGCAGTCATTTATGAGGTTTCATAGATTAGAATACTGTCTTACATGCGAGGAACCTGTACCTCACTCGGTTCCGGAACAGAGCTACTCTGAATCAACCAAATGTACTGACAAAACAGAGCACACATTGAAGTTGAACTGCACTTCATCATTAATAGGGAAAGAAGGGCTTGTGTTTTTGCCTTAAAATGGTTATTTGGGAGATACGCCAAGATACGTTTTGTCAAACGCCCCAGGAGGCCCAAACTGTACCGCAAGGTGTACCGCAACACCTTACCTTAGCAGCAACTGAGGAACCTGGCTTCTCCAAAAGGTCCCAAAGTTTCTTCCTCTTGTCTGAGCAGCAGGTGTTATCAAATTCCCCCTCTCCCTCCCTTTCTCTCAGAGTCTCTGCCTCTCTCCTCAGCTCCTCGTTCATCTGCTCTTTCTTCTGATGGTAGCGAGCCTGGCAGCACGACTCCAGGTAGATCTCATCGATGCCCCAGTAATCGAGCTCTTGCCCGAAAGACAGAGCGCACATTTCCTCCATCATGTGCAGCTTTCCAGTTCTGTAAAAGTTCAAGATGGACGTGAACGCGCCGGGGTGTCTGTCGAAGAAGTATTCGTTCTCATTCAGGCAGTAGTCGTCGCAGACCTCCATTAGTGACTCGTGGGTGTTACAGTCTCTGAGCTTGCCCAATCTGGTTCTGGGAAGCCGGTCCAAGGTCCGCCATAAGACCTCGTGGTTGAGGCCCCCGACGTTGATGCGGACCCTCCTGGAGCGGGCCTTGGTCCGGATGATCTCGATAGGCTCAGGTGGAAGCGAAGTCGAGGATCTGCCTCCAGGTTTCGGAACCCCCAGTCCAGTCTTCTCTGCCATTGTGCTTGTGGAGACAGACAGGCAACTCTCGCCAGGAAGCGGTGTAAGGACGAAAATCAACCAGAAGACAACTGGAAAAAGACAATTATGTTGGGTCCTCCTTAGACGAGTCCCTCCATGGCTGCGAAGACAGACACAAGAGAAAGGATGCTGGAATATCTGAAGTAAATGTTCTGATCATGCACAGACACCTGTTGTTTCCACCTTGCACGTTGTGTGAAATTACATTTTTCCATGCAGTGCACAATATTCCAGCTCATAATTGTTTAGGAAATGCCCTTCCTCTGAGATCCATTAGGAATATGTTAGATTGTACTGTATATGTTTTGCAAAGTACATTTGGAAGCATTAGATCCCATTTACATATCACCAGCCAAGCGTGCCCTGTATGCAAAGAAGAAACGTAAGCTCTGGTATATTTCACCAAAGCCTAAGCTGAGAGAATCGTGGCATATCTTGTTTAAACTAAGGAGAATTAGTAATTAACACAAGCATTAATTCTTGCCACATTCAATATTTATCATTGGCCTTCTATCATTTCAAGGTTAAGTTCAGGAGTGTGATGTAAGGTGATATGTGAGCGGAACATGCAGTTCTCCTTTTTCTTTCTTTAACAAATAATAAAACATAAAATAACAGCAAACACCATTTTTTTATTGTACACTACTAATTATTCAGCTGCTTCTGAACTTCTTTATTTTACTTTTTGCAAAAACTGAAGTAATTTAATTGCATTCACTGACATTAAAAGAACTAAAAAAGCAATATTTGGTGTTATTTCTGATCTCTTAAAGATGACATTCATTAGTGTAATGTTAGTCAAGTTTATTCTCTCATATTAAAAATTATTTTTGACTCTAATGAAACTAAATAATTTAGAAAGATTTTAGGTTACAAATCATACATACACACAAGACAAAAACTGCAAACTCAGACTCTTTCACTCCAGTAATCTTTCCATTTTAGATTTTATTTTATAAGTTAATATACCAAGGTAATAAAATAATTTAAGTATATCAGCAAAATATCTACGTTTACAATTTGTGTGTCCATCTGTACCACTGTTTCTCACATTAAGATTCGTCATCAGTGTCTAATAAAACCGTTGAATGCTTTGCCATGCGATGCCTTTAACTTTGCAGCCTTGCTATTTAAAAAGAATGAACCTGTTCTGAAAAGCAAATCTCCTTTCACTTCATCTCAGCTGTTCCACTCAAACAAGTAACGTCCAGGCATCACGACTTGCCATAACAATGTTTCTGCCAATGCAACTATATTTCTTACCTTCCTGAAGTGAACCACCGTTTGCATATACAAACCGCTGTGTGCGCAAACGAGAGAAAAGACGTCTGCGGGTTTCCTTTAAGATTCCCAGCTCTCAACGGAGGCTTCAGTTAGGACCGGACATGTGTTCCACATTTTGTTCAGATCTCACAGTACACCGGGACATTTCTGTCACTGAAAGAGCTCCCCTTGGCTCGCTAAGAGCGCTACCTCTATCGATGGCTTGATACGGTTAGTCGGGATTTCTGCAGATGTCGGACGCGTAAAGCTGAGGGCGCGCGCACTGTGTGTGAAGCTGCAGAGTGACACTGAGCGCGCGTGTGTGTCTGTGTGTGTGAACGGAATGGATCGTCTGAAGCACGAACTGCATCACAGCCTAGAGGTGAAACCTAATTGGATTGGTCTGTACATCAGCAAGGGCAGCAGCAGATCAACTTCAGCAGGAACTCTCTCTCTCTCTCTCTATCAAGTTTATGTTCCATACATTTATGAGTATAGACAATAAATATAGCCTATATTAACCATCTTATATATATATATATATATATATATATATATATATATATATATATATATATATACACACACACACACACACACACACACAGTACATTATACTATTCTGTTTACATAGAATATCTTTCTCTGTACATGATAAGGCAATCCATACTTTTATTTCAAAAACATTTTACAGTAAATCTATGTTTTAAATATAATCTCATTTTTTGTGCTGTATGACATGACTTACAGTTAACCATTTAACTATTTTTATGGTTGTGCTGTATTTTACTGTATTCTTTTCTCATTAAAATACACAATATTTTTTATAACAAAACAAAATCCTTGCGGCCTCAGCATAATGAAGAATGCTACAGTATACTTAAGTTTACAGTATGTAGGCTAACATACAGTTTTGTACGCGCAGGACAGATTAAGACAGATCATAATGATTAAATCTATAATAACCACGTAAAGGTGTGACTTGAAACCTCAGTGTCGTAAAAAAGGCTTAAGTGGACACCAACAGTGTCAGCTGTACTGGAGCCAGTGTCAACAAGATCCTGTATATACTGACTTTTTTATGACTGGCAGCAGTCAATACATGATACAGTAGCCTATATGTGACTTGGCACTAAGCTGTATGCGTACTGCATTACTAGCAAATATTTTACAGGGTATAAGAAATCGTAAAATTCCTTAGCACCTTTCCATGCTGTGGCAGCAGCGATTCCTTGTTTTTATTACATTGGCCTGGGGAGCCATGTGTACGGTATGAAGTGTGATTTAAAATGTATAACACTTCGTGAGGATATGTAGTCACAGCAATTATTAGTTATGAAGCAGCTGTATTGAGTCTCAGTTGGTGTTGAATGACCTGCATGTCTGGGTCTGTGCTGTTAAAGTTCCCTCCATCAGTAATTAAGCCTCTAAAACTGTGTCTGCTTTGTCTTTCAAACAGGGCCAAGTGAAAAAGATGAAAGGAAACAATAGTTTGGAGACCGTCCATCTATACGCACGAGATGTCACAGGACTACAGGAGACACAGTGGTTGAGGAACAAATGGTGCGTGCTATAAATATATTCTTTGCTTATCAAAGCGGCTGTAGTTTGATTTCAATATACTGTGGCTCAGTGGCATTGATCCATGAATGATACTTGAAAAGGAATAAAGGGTGACATTTACATTTACGTTAATTTTTTTAGATGACTAGTACGACTAATAACAATGAACAAATCTGATTCACTCATTGTGTTGTGTTTCAGTATTCTAGAGAAATGCCTTTCGCCCAAATGTTTTCTGCCACTTGAAATTTTCCTCTGACCACGGCATTTTTGTGAAACCAAACAGCACGGTGTGTGTGATTGATGTTGTAGCCTCAAATGATGAGTGATCAATACATTGCCATAGATTTTTCTGACTCTTGTGCATAGTCTGCTATGAGCCACAATGTGAGGGTGAAGGACAATTGGAAAAAAGAGATGGAAATAGTAACAAAGGACTAGACACAATTTAATGAAGAGTCGTAATCAACTGCCACTGCAGTTCAATAGAAATATGCTAGTTGTCCGCCTATATCAGTGTTCCCTTACAAGTAAACATCTTGCTGCTATGCCTGTCCAGCTGTTTATAGTTTGCATTTCTCATCAATTCAAAAATGCCTATTGGCTTCCTTATTAAACATGATTATACACAGTACAGTACATGTCATTATAATTATTTAAAATATATAATGATTTAACATTTTTCCTAATAAACTTCACGTGTTTCTGTTTGTATTTCTAATCAATAATAATAATAATAATTTTGGCTTTAAGCAATGTATTAAACAATTTCAAAATTTCTCACACATTTTAACTATATATATATATACACATACTGTATATAACTATATATATATATATATATATATATATACAAATTTGGAATTTTTAAAAATTGTTTAATACATTGCTTAAAGTCAAAATAATGTTTTATTTTTATAATATTTTTATTACATATAACAGTTATTTCTGGTCCTCGAATCTGATTGGCTGAGAGGTCTTTCAGAGGTCAAGCAAACCCACATACTTTTTCATGAGTTTTGTTTAGACAAGAATGTAGTTGCCTAGACCTCAAATATGTGATTTATATATAAACATATCGCCAATTTGACAATTTGTTTATGTGATGTTTTCAACCTGTGTTCCCCAGTCTTGTTCCATGTTTTGCAGTCCCTTGTTGTTTAATGTTGATTAGTCTCCCCAGGTGTTTCTTATTAGCCACGCCCCCTTGTTATCTTATTAGGCTTGTCTGTCTGTGTATTTAAGCCCTGCGTTTAGTTCAGTCTTTGTCAGTTCTTATCGTTGCACTATGGTGGTTGTTCCGTTCCCGAGTCTGAAGCCCCGTACACACCGGGACGAATATCGGCGCGCGTTATTCGTCAGCGTTTTTCAACGCGTTTTTTGTGTTCACACCCAAGAGATTTTCGCTGACGATGAGCCGAGTGAACATGCAAATTCATTCCCTGACTCTAGATGGCGCTTAATGTAAAACAGAAATAGTCCTATTTTGTAGTCGCTGTCGCGTTTGTCATATAGTTCTTTATGTTCCGACACCAACGAGACCAGCAGCTCTACATTCATCTTGCCACGCATCTTCCTCGTCTTATTTCTTCCCGGCAGTGTAGACCATAGATATCCATAATAAAGGCCATATTTGGCCAGCAGCGCGGACCAGACATCTAGCCTTATGGATATTTATGGTGTACTGTAGACGCTACTTGGCGCATCTTCTTCGCCGTTACGTATGTGTGCTCAGCAAGACCGTTTTGTGTTTGAGCGCCCCCAAGTTGTGTTTTACTGTAACTTCAGAAGCTCCAGACACGTGAGCAAAAGCGCCAATCTCATTGGTCGGATAGTTTTTGACGCGGCGCATCAAACCAAAAAAACGAACCCGAGGCGTTTTTAAAAAAAAATGACGCTTTTACGCGTGGCGTTTTTCGCGTCGGTGTGCACATTCACATTGGCGCCCTTTGTTTAGTCACGAGGCGTTAAACGTCGGCGAATATCGCGCGCGAAATTCGTCCCGGTGTGAACAGGCCTTAACAGTTAAGGCATTTTCGGAGATGTGAGCTCCAGGCCGTCAGCTGCCGTTCAGAGCTCATGTACTCGCAGAGAACAGCTTTATTTTCTGGCCAGTCCTTCGGGAATTTGTCGCTGGCTTTCATGATGATGGTTAAACAAGAGATATAATTTGTTTAAGGTATATAAAAAATTGACATTCTTTGTTTTTTTAGTAATTTATGACTTTATCCAAAGCAAATCGATTTGGCTAAGAACAAAGTTAAGTTTCATAACTTTATATTTTTATTTAACTTAAATCCTGTACTAATTATACCATGGTCTTTCTGAATACTTGATTCTGATTGGCTGGAAGGTGTGCAATAAAACTGTTTAATGCACAGGTAATTCCAAGTTAGTTTAATCACCGTTTATATTAATGCGCTGTTTTCATTGAAGCTCATGCACACATACGTCACTTGCACACAGAGAGCGGAGATCACACTGCGCACACATACAATCATTCAGGAGCACATAAACTTATCAAAGCTGCCCCGCAACTTTTATATAAAAAAAATAGCTTCGCTACTGAATCGCTACATTATATTTCTCAGCAACGAGGGGGTAACGTCGCTGATTTTGAAGATATTAAACTCAGACGCAGAACAGACACAGGTAATTCACACACACATCTCTCATTCCATAATTAATTCAAATAAATGGTATAATTCATTAATTCAAATAAATGTAATTATACACTCTATATTATCTCTCTGTCTTATTCAGAGTGGTCAGAAATCTATTTCTAACAAGCCGTAACTGTCGGAAATAACCCTAAACTAAAGTGTGACCGTACTATAGTAATTACAATAACTGGGTAATAACTAGGTACTAACCCTGAACCTACTTCTAAACCTAATCTTAACCCATGTAGTTCCTTTATATCACCCAGTACTTTCTTAGGTAAGTACACGTACTGTAAAATAAAGTGCAACCCACAATTATAATTGTTTAAGATATTAGGGCATCTGAAAGTCATGTAGTTCAGTGTATGTTGACATCGGTATTACCAGTGTAAATAAGGCTGACTTTCTGTTGTCTAGAGGCACTCTGGGCCCCATGTGAATGATGATTAAATGATACTGAGCTTCTTCATTTTTAATTTTAAACTTTATGCCAACATTGTGTCAAAGCACTCATGTTACCAAGACTACAAAACATTTTGGGAATGTAATGCATGTTTAATACTCAGTATCATGTGGGCATGTGTGTGTAGGCAGTTACCATAGAAACGGCAATCCTAGCATCATGCACTAGTAACATTTTGGCACAGCAAAAGGGTTATGCCTCAGAGCTAGAATTGCATGATACTATCAATATATCTGATTGATTTTATACATAAAGCAAACATGAGGACTTTTAAAAGTGAATGTGCTCACGAAAGAAAATATGCAAGCATATGCAGCCCATGCATGTATCATGTATGCATGACAATGTTGGTATGTGCATGCTTGTGTGTTCGTGGGTGGGTGTTTATAGTGGGAGTGTTTATGGTGGGATTTAAGAAATAGTTTCCGCTTAACCTAACAGTAACAGGTAGTTGCCCACACCGGTACCCAGTTGTTCCTTCCCATTTGTTGTAAAGGCCCTCTGACCCCTCCAAATATACACAGTGCCGGATGCTCCGTTTCAATGAAACAAAATAAACAGGATAACATATACACAGAAAGGCTAATGGTTCGATATAGACGTGGTTGAAGCATTTCAGTTCTGCTAGCTTGTGAGTTTGCAAGACAATTGATGCTAGTGAGCTGCTCTGTTTATTTACTCTGTGTATGTGCATG